AAATGTTTCACAGTTTCAGTTTGTTATCAGTCAGAAATCGCAAATATATCCATCCTATAACTTCTGACCTATAGAGGCTACATGTCATATTAAAACATTTGCTGTATTCTTCTCCAAAACGAACCAGCGAATTAATAACCATATTAATAAACTTACCTTAATGCTTGTTTCGACCTCGCACAATCATACACGTGCCAGACGGCTCATGAAATAATCCAATCGATACCTTCCCTTTGCTTTCGTGGTCCTTCCCGATGCGTCACCTCTTTCACCTGTCAGTCACCTGCACCTTGGGGCTCTCCTACCGTAATGTTGCGACGCAGCGCGCTGCCCCGCGGATTGAGGATCACGTTTCCAGCAGCGTAATGTGGACAAGGAGCATTCTCTCCTGTCCTCTCTGGATGCCAAAGGGCCCTTCTTTTGGAAACAGAAAAAAAAAACCCATTTCAAATCAATATATGGTGTGACCAACTTTTGCCAGCACGTATTCTTCTAGGTAGGCTACACTTGCACAAACTTTTTGAAGCACCTTAGCAACAGGTAGATTGGTCCTGTCCAAGGCCTAATCTAAAGCACTTGCAGTCAGCCCTAGTTACAGTATGTTGCTACAGGGTATGCAGGCTGTAATCTAAAGTATTGATAGAGACCCATTTTCAGGACCATATTGTTACAATGTGTGTTAATATAGCCTAGATGTTTGATTTCGTTCCCAGCTCTAGCAGTCATTTTCCAAAAAATAAATAGCCTGCTGTGTAAAAAAACAAAGGTATGTCAATCATACCAAGTTAATGTTGGTACACATAAGCATCTTGATTTTTTATTGATAAAGAACATGAATCCCAAACTACAGTCAATGTAAACATTACACAATGGAGTTGAATCAAAACATTTAAAAACATTTAAATACTAAATCTCTTAACATCTCTCCTTAAAAAAACTCTTAATTAGGCTATAACAATATCTTAATAATCAACTAAAAACACAGAATAAATTGCAAGTTAACATAAAACATAGATCACAATAAACAGCTTGTTTCATTTATTTATGTTGTCATTTTTTTCTTCATTTGGGGGCAGCCATCCACTAGTCCTAGTCAGTGTTTTGGCATATAACTGCAGCAGCTTCACGGGTTATGACAAATTCTTTCCCTTCTGAGGTAATATTCACCTGTGATGCTGTGTGAAGTTTTTATCATGTAAGTAGTGAGCAAATTGTCAAAATTATTATGTTGTATTGTTAAATTTGAACTCATTGCCATTACTTGTGTGGAATATACATCCATCCATCATCAACTGCTTACCCTGTGTACAGAGACGTGGGGGGCTGGAGCCAATACCAGCTGACATCAGGTGCAAGGCTGGGTACACCCTGGACAGGTCACCAGTCCATTGCAGGGCCACACATAGACGAACAACCACTCACACCTAAGGACAATTTAGGGTCCAATGTCCGCATGTCTTTGGATGGTGGGAGGAAGCCGGAGCACCCGGAGAGAACATGCAAACTCCACACAGAAAAGCCGGGGAAACTGGGGTTTGAACCCACGACCTTCATGCTGTGAGGCGACAGTGCTAACCATGTTGCTGTATCAACAGACAACCTGCTTGGGCGTTGTCACTAAGTGGATGAAAATAAAATAAAAATGGAAGGTGTCCTGTTCTTCAGCACCCTTTTGTTGTTTGATTATATACACGTCGACCTAACCCTGCCACAAGACACTGCTTTGACAGTGTCGTGTGATGGCATGTGATATCAGCAGGAGTACACACAGAAACATTTCACATGCAGTAACGTTTTTACTAGTAAATGACACATAGTTTTAACCATGCTAGTGGCTATCTTTTCTGCCTGCCCTTTAGTGTTCAATGTGTAGCATACAGCTCTGAAAAGAGCTCTGCCTCCACTATCTCCCTCTACTCTTCAATGGCTCCTTTCCACCTGTCCTCACTCCACTTGTTATACAGGTGCGGGTCATACAATTAGAATATCATCAAAAAGTTGATTTATTTCAGAAATTCCATTCAAAAAGTGAAACTTGTGTAATGTATACATTCATTCCACACAGACTGATATATTTCAAGTGTTCATTCCTTTTAATTTTGATGATTATAACTGACAACTAATATAACTAATATTATGAAAAGGTTCAATATTGAAGACACCTGGTGCCACACTCTAATCAGCTAATTAACTCAAAACACCTGCAAAGGCCTTTAAATGGTCTCTCAGTCTAGTTCTGTAGGCTACACAATCATGGGGAAGACTGCTGACTTGACAGCTGTCCAAAAGACGACCAAGACACAAAAGGTCATTGCTAAAGAGGCTGGCTGTTCACAGAGCTCTGTGTTCAAGCACATTAATAGAGAGGCAAAGGGACGGAAAAGATGTGGTAGGAAAAAAGTGTACAAGCAATAGGGATAACCGCACCCTGGAGAGGATTGTGAAACAAAACCCATTCAAAAATGTGGGGGAGATTCACAAAGAGTGGACTGCAGCTGGAGTCAGTGCTTCAAGAACCACCACACACAGACGTATGCAAGACATGGGTTTCAGCTGTCGCATTCCTTGTGTCAAGCCACTCTTGAACAAGACACAGCGTCAGAAGCGTCTCGCCTGGACTAAAGACAAAAAGGACTGGACTGCTGCTGAGTGGTCCAAAGTTATATTATCTGATGAAAGTAAATTTTGCATTTTCTTTGGAAATCAAGGTCCCAGAGTCTGGAGGAAGAGAGGAGAGGAACAGAATCCACGTTGCTTGAAGTCCAGTGTAAAGTTTCCACAGTCAGTGATGGTTTGGGGTGCTATGTCATCTGCTGGTGTTGGTCCACTGTGTTTTCTGAGGTCCAAGGTCAACGCAGCCATCTACCAGGAAGTTTTAGAGCACTTCATGCTTCCTGCTGCTGACCAACTTTATGGAGATGCAGATTTCATTTTCCAACAGGACTTGGGACCTGCACACTGTGCCAAAGCTACCAGTACCTGGTTTAAGGACCATAGTATCCCTGTTCTTAATTGGCCAGCAAACTCGCCTGAACTTAACCCTATAGAAAATCTATGGGGTATTGTGAAGAGGAAGATGTGATACGCCAGACCCAACAATGCAGAAGAGCTGAAGGCCACTATCAGAGCAACCTGGGCTCTCTGTTCACTGATGCATGTTAAATATAAAGTGTGTTACTGGTGTTGATGAACACGTGCACTAGTGTTTTTCAATGTAACAGGCTGGAGGATGTACAGAATTTCTCTCAGTCGCCTTTGGAGAACCGGGTCTGTATTTTGATTAGTCACTAAACTATGACACAACAAGGTAATCATTGTGTTACAGTCAAACGACGCTTGCACGGGTATTTTCTGAATATACTCCTTCAATGGCTCCTTCAACCTTGTTTAATAAGGATTTGCATTTACAAATTAAAACGTCGAAATGGTGTTCACTCTTGTGTAAGAAAACATGAGGCCATTACCTAAAACTCAGGCATCAAATGATGCAACTGATGTATCTTTGACATGACAACTTGCCAGATTAACAACAGCAGCAGTCATTTCCTGAGCATAGGGTTTTTGGAGAAGACAGAAATAGCTGCTTCATGTTTTATTTAGCAGACAGCAGACAGACTGCCAAACCTGATCTGAGTTAAATGCACTGCACGTAATTAAAGAAGGAGGGGAAACGTCTTGAGCAGCTGCCAAATGACTGGGGCTCTCGAGTACATTTGGAGATAAAATGCAATTTTTTTTAAAAGGGCTGAATTGTGGGCCTAGTGCACTTTTGTGATGTACTTTCCTTTTTTATCAGAAAGAACATGATGTGTTGATTTAATTTCAGTCTCAAATTGCATTCACTCTCGTGCGGGTTAAACGGCAGCTCTGGCACTGCTGTTGTGCCACAGTAAAGATTGTTTTGTAGAAGCCTGTGTTGTTTTGTGCTTTTTCAGAAGATGTATTTAGTATCACTGGAAGAAGAAAATCTTGGCAGAGTGACTGAATGACAATGAATTTTGTTTAACTAACGCTAATTTCCAAAAATTGTTATGTAATGTGACTTAACTCATTTGAGAAATCAGATACAGACTCCTGGTAGCACTGATGAAGGTGAAAGATGCTGTGTCGTCAGCAAACATTGTTCAGTTCAGTTCATTATTGCCGTGAATATTTCATTCCAACAATGTCACCAAAGCAGTTTGCAAGAAAATCAGAAAGGTTTATAATTACATTGATTCTGTTCTGCAAAGTGCTGCATGCTGGAGACCACATATTTAGCATTGCACTATTGTCGGGTTCACAATGGAGAGTTAAAAAAAAAGAGAAAAGATTAAAGTCGAGGAGTGGAATGACGTGAAATCTTCTTTTTTTTAAGACACGTATTTTTTTCCTCGTCAAACCGGGTGCCTGCATTACCCACAATGCATCTCAGATTGTGAGTATGTGATGCTGGTAGCGGCTAATGTAGCAAGTGACATCACACTTTTTGTCATACCTTGCACAGTTCTGAAAAGGGCTTTATATGCAGTAAAACTGTAAAATTCTCTTTTAATGCAGAGCTTCTGGGTTCTGTTTGATTTAGGTTTCTTAATCAATTTGAGCTTATTTTATTCTTGTATATGACATCAGCCTCTTTGTCCTGGTCCCAATCACCTTCTCCTAACTAACTTCATCACTCTAATCTAATTATTTCAATCAGGAGAGACTTCATTATGAGTGAACAAATATTTCATTGACATGTGCATAATAAAGATGAGACACCGTTGTGATGTTATCATATTTTAAGGTGGTAGGGAAGCCATGAGTAGTATTGGATCTCCCCTGATGAAGACTAGACACTGTTGGCGCAGGGATGGCTGAAGATCTGGATGTGATGAGAAATGGAGTTTGATTGACACCCTTTGCAATGCTTGTGCATTATTGGCCCTGAAAGATCAACACCCACCCTCTCACAAACACACACACAAATCACACTCTTACTGTCCTTCTCCAGAACAACAATGCCTTTTTAGTGTTTCTTCTGGCTTTTTACTGCTTTTTCATGTCATCTGCTCATAAACAAGCAATTTCCATACAACTTTGCTAAAATAGCAAAATAAATAAATTTAAGTGAAATGAGTCCTAACCCACTGCCTTCTTTCCTCTGCTGCTCATTTGTCATTTCAGCACTTGGTGTGATAAAAGGGTTAAGTTACTCTCATTAAACGCTGCCTAGCTCACCCATGAACCAGAGTCATCAGGGAGCCACAACCTTGTCTGACCTGCTGCAGGGTGAGGGGAGGGAGTGCTGTGAAAATGCAGACCTCTCTTGCCTCTGCAACCTTGCCAAGCCCTCCCTCGATGGTGAACGTCACTGTGAGGACTGGAAACAGGATGGGCAGCTCGCTGTGATTAGCCTGCAGCTCCATAAAGTCCCAGTACAGCGGGGAGGGGGGCCTGAGCTATACTGCAATGATCAAAATTACAAGGAGAGCTATGAAACACATGCAAGTCACAATGTAAAGTAGGGCTGCATGTAATTCATATTTGAATTGTCAATTGACCTGATTATTTTCTCGATTAATCCATTAACCGCCTTATCTAGAGAATAATATAGTGAAATACTCCACTGTGATCTCTTCATGTGTTGTTTAGTCCAAACCCAAATAGGCTATATGCAGTTTATATGTAAGACAAAGAAAGCAGTAGCCTTTCTCAATTATCAAAACGTTTGCCAATGATTTTTCAGATCTTTGACTAATTGAATCAGCTCTATAATGTAAAACATTAAATCAACAAATAAACTAAATCAATAATATGCAGGAATGACATTTCCTACTTCTCAGGACTCCAGTAAAAGCAACTTCCACCGGCATGCACCAGCTCTGTGAATAATAAAATAACATAATGATAACACTATATAATAAGCAATACAAAAGCCTGCACAATGATAGCTATTTTGACACAAACAGAGGACGAACACAGAATTGCATCATCAGGAATGAAATGTGTTTTAATACAACATCCTGAAAAATATAAAATCTACCTTTTGAGAGAAAAGGTAATATTACTTTTTTTTAAAGCACAAGAGCCTTGATCTTCAGTCCTGGCCCAATGACCAAAGTGCACCTATGACTGTCTAATCTATCAACTATTAGGCCTACACTGAATTTACCCACAACCAGGGCTAATAGACAAGCTATACTCAGCAAAAAAGAAATGTCCTCTCACTTACAACTGCTTTTATTTTCATCTCAACATGTGTTAGTATTTAGATGAACATAAAAAGATTCAACAATTAAGACATAAACTGAACAAATTTCCACAGACATGTGAGCAACAGAAATGGAAAAATGTGTCCCTAAAAAAAGGGGCGTCAAAATCGAAAGTATCAATCGGTATCTGGTGTGGCCCTGTGGTTCTGTGCAGGTGTTGTTACATGTGGTCTGCCACTGCGAGGACTATCAGCTGTCCTTCCTGTATCCCTGTAGTGCTTTCTTAGCTGTCTCACAGTACAGACATTGCAATTTACTGCCCAGGCAGCATGCCTCCTTGCAGCACGCCTAAGGCACATAAATGAGAAGGGACCCTGCACATCTTTCTTTTGGTGTTTTTTAAAGTCAGTAGAAAGGTTTATTTAGTGTTGTTATTTTTTATAGCTGTGTCCTTAATCGCCTACTGTCAGCATGCTGTTAGGGTCTTAATGGCAATTCCACAGGTGCATGTTTGTTGATTGTTTATGGTTTACTGAATAAGCATGAAAAACATTGTTTACACCCTTTACAGTAAAGTCCTTATGATATTTACAGAATTACCTTTAAAATACAGTGTCCTGAAAAAGGGATGTTTATTTTTTATGCTGAGTTCATATTAAAAGACACCATAATGCCCCCACATAAATTAGAAATCGGGCAGCAGGGGGCACCACACAACAACATTTGAAAATACCATGAGCCTTATAACACTTCAAAGATGGTTTTATTCTCATTGATTCCAGGTTGGACTGTCAAGCTTAATTTAGAGTCAGTACACCATGATAAGTCAAAAACCTGACGCCAGATCAGTTGGTTGCCCACTGCTGAGGCCGCAGAGGTTTTTCATGCTGAGGTTCTGGATATTTCTGAACCATTTAGATAGAAATATGCACAAATGCAGTGAGCAGAGGTTCATGCTCCTTGCGGGCTTCTAGCTACAAAGGAACAAAGGCTGATGGTGGCATGATGAATTCTACGATACTGATAAAAATCTACTTTCATAAAAATGTACAAAAGAAAAAAGACAGAATCACACTGAAACTACAGTGAAACCTGTCTGACAGGACTCTGACGGGTGAGAGCTGTTGAAGGAGCGCTCAATGAGATACAGTGAGGGAGAAACTGCAAAGGAAGACAAAGCAAACCTACATGCACGCTGGATGACAGCGCTGGGAAGGGAGGTTTTCTGAGGTAAAGGAGTCATCCTTTTTCACACAGTGTCATGCTGAAACCAAACCTGTCAGAAAGAGAGAAAAGAGTACAAAAAATTGCACACTGCAGCAGCTTCTTACTGACAACAAAGATACCAAAGACAAACTAAAAATGTATTCTTGAAGGGAGGGGGATCTACCAAGAAATGCAGAAAAATATGACTAATTACCTCTAATCATTAGAAATAAATGCATGCATCATTGCCTGTCACAGCGTGATGTGGGGTGTCCACATCACGCTGTGACAGGCAATGATGCATGTAATGTAATTAAATAATATTTAACTTGTTAAGTGTTCAGTCAAAAAAAATAGAGCAATTACCTAACAGCCTTCAGTGAGAAACAGAAAGTTAAAAGTTAAGTAACCAATATTTTTGTTGAAATTAGTAATTGAAGTGGATTAGTCATCTCATTTCATGCTCATTTTAAGAAGCGGGAGCTCTGAGGTCACACTCCTGGAAGAAAAAAAGGCAGACTGACAAGGATTTTAAGTTAAATCAATTAGCTTGACTTTATGTGTAACCTCCCCAAAATTACTTGTGGAATAAAGTGGGACACTGTGAGAAAGGAAGCTGCACAGTGAGAGGAGATGAGAGGCAAAGCAGTTGATTTAGCAGTTTTTTTAATAAGATAAGATGAAGCTTTAACTGATTTTTGGAGTTTTCTATGATTAGACACTAACTGTGTGTTTTGGACCTCATACATAAAAAAATACTCAAGAGTCAACTCTAGCTGCTCTGTAAAGCTGCACTGAGGCACAGCTAAATGCTAGCATGAGACATGTTCACAATGACAATGCTAACATCCTATACAACATAGTTTAGCATGTTAGCATGCTAACATTAGCTAATTAGCAGTAAACAAAAAGTACAGCTGAGGCTGATGGGATTGTTAGTTTTGCATGTATTTCGTCATGAACCAAAGTTTAAACTTAAATCTGACCTGATGACTATAGTGCCTTAATCTTGAGGAATCACTCAAGGTTCATCCTGAAGAGGATATGAATATGTGCAGCCTGCTAAATTTTATGATAATCCATCCAGTAGCACCATTTCAGTCAAAACCACAAATGTGATCTTGTTGGTGGTGTAAAAGTAAGAGGATCATTAAAGTCTTTATGATTCAGACAGAATTAGCTATTAGCTCCAGACTCTAGGAACCATGAATAGTTGCTGAGATTTTTAAGTTTGACAAAAGTGGTGGGCCTAACGATGAACAGACCGACATTGCCATCCATAACGCCATGCCGCTAGCATGGCTAAAATAACCAGAAAAAGCAAGAGGCTTATGATTAGCATTCCAACACTAGAGGCTGTTGTGGTAGAAATGTGGGAGTCAGAGTTTTATCATATTCATTTACTCTCCTCGTTAACTGTTCCCACTGCTCTGCCACTTGCTCTACAAACACACCACACTGCAAAAGAGATACTGTTAAAGTAAAAATGGCGGTAGTGATTATTATTTTCCCAACAGACAAAGCTAGTGGGAGGTAGTGGGACGTATTGATACAGGTGCGTTGATTCACTGATTAAAGTTAATTAAACCTTTCTCAATGAAAAGCTTTGGTGTTCTGCTGTCTACCTGACCTCCAAATTTAATAAATAAAGAGCAAAAAAGTGCAGCATAAGGGCTGTTTGCACTACAGAAATGAGACAGTAGAGCAGAGACAGAAAAGGAAGTCCTCCTCACTGACCTTCACTCAACCTTAACACAGGGAAGGAAATTACACCCACCAGCCAAACTCTTGACCATGGGTGACAGGCAACTGGCCAGAAATCATTTTAAATTTTCTAAAATATTCTGAAAGCACATCACCTTTTCAGAAATAGTACACTA